AGAATATTTCATTCATTCAGATCTAGGATGTCTTATTTTTGTGTTCCCTTTATTTTTTTGAGCAGTGTAGAATGTGTAGGCAGTAGCATGACTATTTACCCTGTCTAGCCTGAATTAATGTTTCAGAGCTTTTAATTATAAAAAGGATATTAAAAGAAAGCAAGCATTCAGCGAGGCAAAAATCATCAGAACGGTTTTTTTAACAAAAGCCTCTCAGCCTAATGTAACCCCCAAAAGCATCCTTAAAAAAAAACAAATAAGATAGTTGGTTACTGCCCAATGTTAGAGAAACCTTCTCAGGAGCTGTGGTGGTGCAGTGGTTAGAATGCAGTACTACAGGCTACTTCTGCTGACTGCTATTTGGCAGTTCGATCCTCACCAGGCTCAAGGTTGACTCAGCCTTCCATCCTTCTGAGGTCGGTAAAATGAGGACCCAAAATTGTTGTGGGCAATATGCTGACTCTGTAACCACTTGGGGAGGGCTGTAGAAGCACTGTGAAGTGATATGTAAGTCGAAGTCCTAGTCCTAAGTCCTATTTGTAAATACACGTCACAACACTTCAGGATAGGAAGAAATTCAGAACTGAAGTTTATCCTTGCCTGTACATTATCATTTATATCCATGCTTGGTTTTTAAACTTTTTTTATTATTGTAGTTTGTTTATTTACACTAATAATATCAATTATATCATTAGCTACTTTAAATGGAATGTTCATAGAGAATGCCCAAGCTCTTATTTTATTATAGATTTATTTCTTAAACATGATCAGCAGAAAAAAGGAAAATAAAATTTAAAACTTAATGAAATGTAAGGCATTAGTTTACACATACTACCACTTCTTACAATACTAGACAACACAGTATCAACAGTTAGAGACCTTCAAATTTCTAGGTTCTACCATATTACAAGACCTGAAATGGACAACTAACATCAAAAATGTCGTCAAAAAAGCACAACAAAGAATGTTTTCTGCACCAACTCAGGAAGCTCAAACTGCCCAAGGAGATGCTGATACAGTTCTACAGAAGAATTGCTAAGTCTGCCATCTGCAGCTCTATAACTGTCTGGTTTGGTTCTGCAACCCAACAAGACAGAAACAGACTCCAGAGAGTAATTAGGACTGCAGAAAAAACAATTACTATCAACTTGCCCTCAATCGAGGACCTGTATACTGCACAAGTCAAAAAGAGGGCTGTGAAAATATTTACAGACCCTTCACATCCCGGATATAAACTGTTTCAACACCTACCCTCAAAACGACGCTATAGAGCACTGCACACCAGAACAACTAGACACAAGGACAGTTTTTTCCCGAAAGCCATCACTCTGCTAAACAAATAATTCCCTCAACACTGTCCCACTATTTACAAAATCTGCACTACTATTACTATTAATCTTCTCATCACTCCTTATCACCCATCCCCTCCCACTTGTGACTGTATGACTGTAACTTTGTTGCTTGTATACATATGATATACCGTATTTGCCGGCGTATAAGATGACTTTTTTGCCCTGAAAAACATGCCTCCAAGTGGGGGGGTCGTCTTATACGGCGAGTATATAACAAAGGTCGTCTTATACGCCGGCAAATACGTTGTTGTCACTCGGTGCAAGAGCGACGGGGGCGGAGCTCCGCAACTTGCGAAGCCCCTTCAAGCCCAGCCGGAGTCTCTCTTCCTCCTCCTCCCCCACCCACCCACCCACCCACTCCGCTCGTGCGAGCGGACAGGCAGGCTCCAGGCTTTGCCCCCATCCCTCACCTCCTTCCATCCCCCTCCACCCCCCCCCAGTGGCAGAAACTTCGCCGCACGTGGGGACGAGTGGAGGGGGTGGGAGAGCAGCGACGCAGCTCAAAGCTGAGAAAGCGCCATCCTTGCTTTTGTGCTTCGGGAAGAGTTCGTGTTTTTTGTTTTTTTGTTTTTCTCCCAGGAATGGGATGCTGCTCGTGCGATTTTCTTTGGGAATTTTTCTCTTCCCGGTTTCAGCCTTTGCTCCGAATCCCCCCCCCCCCAATTCACTTCTGGAAAGGATGCTTGTGTAACTCTTTTCCTAAGCGTTGCTGGGGTGGAGGGGGAGGCAGTGTGCAGCGTGAGCGAGAGGCTCTTTTCCTTTCTCCCTGAGCGCAAAACCGTCTGCCTTCTTCTCTCTTGGACGGACTGAGCAAGGCTAATAAGATAATAATAAGATAATAAGATAAGATCCTAAGCGCGTTGTGGAAACAGATCTGGATCTCATTGGAGAAAGGTAGCAAATGAATGAACTGGACTTTTGGCAAGTCTCGGGGTAGGAACTCGACGCTTTCTGGAAAGTTAGTGAGCAGGAAAATAGACATCCTTTCCGCTTTCTCCCAGCGTGGGTATTTCATTATCCCTCCCTGTAAGAAGTAACAACCACAAAGCCAAGGGAAAAAGCGATGCGCAGGAAAAAGCCACAGTAGGAAGCAAAGATTTCTCCCCCCCACCCTCTCTCTCTGAAATAATTAATGTCGCAATCAGTGTGGTGCACCCTTGGAGACAAATTGGTTGGGGAGGTGGAAAGATATTAAGAAACAACTCGACTGTTTTTCGTCCAGTTTTATTTTTATTTATTTATTTTCCCCTGAAAAAAGCAGATCGCTCAACGGTGTCACAAAGAAAGGGAGAGGAATTGAGTGCCAGCCTGAGAAAGGCGAAGCTGCCTCTCTAAAGCATTTTGGTGGCTTTGTAAGTTTGGGGGAAAGGGGCGGGGGTGTCAATCAAGAATTATATCCAGAATACCCCAAGTGTTACAACTTACCGTATTTGCCGGCGTATGACTTTTTTGCCCTGAAAAACATGCCTCCAAGTGGGGGGGTCATCTTATACGGCGAGTATATAACAAACTCTATATTTTGAGTGGAAATGTTGGGGGCTCGTCTTATACGCCCAGTCGTCTTATACGCCGGCAAATACGGTATACTGTTTCCTAGTATGATTTGATTGCTTATTTGTACCCTATGACTATTGTGTTGTATCTGATAATTCTTGACTATTGACAAATGTATCTTTTCTTTTATGTACATTAAAAGCATTTTCACCAAGACAAATTCCTTGTGTGTCCAATCACACTTAGCCAATAAAGAATTCTATTATTCTATTATACAAGAGCAGATTGTTCTTGTTTCAAAAGACAAGACAAAAAGTGCTAATTGTTTCATCATTGTTTTAAAATTTTCGTAGTCTTTTAAGTTTTATTACCATGAAATAAAGCTGTATAGGCTAGTAGAATAAAAATAGAAAAGATGCCATTAATATTGATGCAGAAACAACTAACATCAGTTACAGTTAGCATAATGGAGTGGTAATGAATTGTGTATCACCTTGTTTTAGCAGAATCAGTATTGATTTTGCCTTTGCACACAAAGATGGAAAATAAGATTAGAAACTTGTCACTAATATAATAGCGTTCTTGGATTCAACTTATATGCATTTTAATGGGGCCCCTTTAAAACTTTCACAATGGAGAAATAATGGGAGAACATAGTATTGATTTCTTTATTTATTAATCAGATTTGCATAGCAGACCATCTAACCAAAGGCAAATCTGTTATGTTATATTTTTACATGTCCATAGAATCCTGCAGTCACTGAGGAGGTTATTTACACTGTTGATTCCAAACTCCTTTTCAATACTGAAATCTCAACAAAAACATCTTGGATGGATGGCTGTCTAGCATTCCCTCATCCAGTCTATAGGGGAAGTTATCACTACCTTCCCAACTGGTTCCTCTATAGTTCCTCCTAAACTGCTGTACTGTTAAAGATTTTTATTTCCTAAAAGGGTAAACAGACTCTGTTCCCTCAATCTCACCCTGTAAATTTAGTTTAATAATCTTCTGGCCATCCTTATTTATTTTCTTTATACCTGTTTTTGCTCTGCTGAATCTGTGTTAAAATGCATTACTAAGAAAACATTGGTCAAATATTGCATGAAATTCTGATTAAGAAGCTAGTTAAGTTGGGGGTAGTTGATTTAGACATTAGTCACATACAAAACTAGCTTAGAAATTATAGTGAAATAAGTTAAGTGCTTTATAATATGATACAAGGAAGCTTAATTTTTCCCTACAGTCATGGAATTAAGTATTTGGACTGCTGAAATGCCCGAATTCAAGGCAGGATTTCAGTACAGTTGGGGACCTAAATGATAATTCAAAGTGATGGGGTAAAAGCAAAGAAGTCCAACCTACAGTGCTTTCTTCCTCCTCCCTTTTTTAAAAATATGTATAGTTGGGAGGTTAAATATAAGTTACAGGTTTTCAATGTTTTATTTTTACTTTTAAAATACAATGTTATTTTCTGTAACAAAATAGTACCTATTCTGAAGTAAGAATATAGATAACTGAAGAGGTGATAGTGATTGTGGTGATGGTTAAAAGACCATCAAGGGCAGGATATGAAACTGGCAGGACAAATGTTATTTATTGAAAAATCATTCATTATGGGAAGGTATGGCTATCAATGCATTGTGGGTCCAACTTTCAAGAAAACAAAATGATTTTCTGCTAGTGCATAAATTCCACTGACCATAATGAGTCTTGGTTATTATATTATAGCATTTTCATTTTCAAAGTAATGGTTGATCAGTTTATTCTGTTTGCTACCCGGTATTTGTTGACATTTGAAACATTGTATGTGCTGATTTTTATTTAGTGGGTTCAGGAAAACATTTTCTTTCTTTTAATGGATAGATTGACTTACTCAGAGCCTCCACATAGCTATCAAAACTGAAATTTAATTTGCAAACATTTATGAATGTGAAAAGCATATGAATATATTAGATGTTAATCTATACTATTTACAGAATTATGCTAGATACTGCAAATATATCTGTTTTGTATGATGGCATTGTTTTCAACTGAAGATGTAACCCAAGGAAAAGAGTAGAATATTATATGTTAACAGAAGGGTAGAAGGAAAGGATAATAAAGTTAAGAGTACCTAGAAAAAAACTAGACAAATCTTTCTCTTCTTTCAACAGTGCGACTTCATGAAAGCATATCAGAAGAAGGATTTCATTACTTAGTCTTTGATTTGTAAGTTGACTTGCCTATTTGCAGTTTGTCCTATAATATGTAATATATAAAATTAAAGACTGTACCATATGATCCAGATGGACAATAGCCATTTCCTATCTGTAACAGAAGCCAGTCCATTCTAGGTAACTAGTTCACCATGTCCAGACAGTATCGCTGTTAAATCCATGTTTATAACTACTGCTAACTATTTATGGAATAAACTTTGGTGGAATTTCTCAGGGGGATTCTCTAAGAATGAAGAAAGAATTATGAAGAACAATACAAATTATATGTAGAGCACATAATATTGACACTGGCAACAGTTAATTTAATAAAGAATAAAAGGAAACTGGAATCTATGAATTCTGATCAGTTCCTGGTTTCTAGCTGGAGTTAAACCAGAATTTCCAGGTTAACAAAGCCAGGATGTTTTCTGCAGCAATGTTTAAGCTATTTTGAATAGACATTAGGAGAAAGCATGCAACCAACACAATATTGCATCAGAAATAGCATGTTACATGGTTTAAATTATTTATGTTGCTTTCTGTGAATTTCTCATTTTATCAAGACAGATCAAAATAGTTCAAATAAAGAAAATTCTATTACAATTTAAGCAGAAATGTTGAAAGAAATATAACAATATAAACTGGAAAATAATTCAAAATCTGTAAGATTTGTCAGGAAAAAAATGGATACCGTACATATTTTATATTGAAAACCTGTTTATAGTAGTTTTTCAGGCAATCTGATTTACTAAAAACATAATAAAGACAAAGAGGTCACTAAACAAAAATATATATAATTGCTGTTTAAGTATTGTAATCAATAAATATGGACATTTTGCCCCCGCCCTTATGGCCTTCTACAAGAGCAGCAATACGGGCTCTGCCTACTGGCATGGGCATCTAAGAAGGATATGCCACTTTGGGAGTGGTTGGTAGCTTAAGGGCTTTCTCTCCACCTCTTTAACTTTTTAACCTTTTAATTGTTAACATTTTTAGTTCTGTTTTTAATTCTGATTTTAATTAGCCTTTACATTAATTTGTGGGCAGTGTAGAAATTTGATCATAAATAAGCATAAGAAGTCCTTTCACCCAGTTATATCCAGCATTAAAAAATACTTTTGTAAAGAATTTGTCTTTTGTTTATGAAGCACATTTCTTTTGCTGAAAGCAACTATTGAGTAAAATACAAAGGTCATTAAGTGGGTTTGTTGTTGCCTGAAAATTTCTCATTTCAGGCCTCACAGAACAATGTGTTTTGAACTTCATTTTTTTAAAAAATGAAACAAAAAGTGCCATTTTATATAAATTGTTTTCTCTCAGTTCTTTATTGGATGTTTTATTTGAACTTTGTTTAAAAAAAATAGCTGTTTGAAAATCTTCACTATTTAAATAATAATCATAAATGATAAATAATGAAAGGTTTTAGATAAAAATTTATCGCAAAATTATTTTTTAAAAAATGACTTGGGAATATGATGAGCATATGAACAAAATTGTACTGAAGCTGTTGAAATGTGATCCTGCTTTCTGTTTTGGAAAATCATCAAGTTAAGAGTTGATGAAGAATAGCCAAATAGAACTGGTATCTCATCCAAAGTGAGGGAGTGGCAATTTGAAAAAATATATGTCCTTCATCATATCTGCTGAAAATAGCATCACTGCACAGTGCAATAAAATTTGCAATTTATTTATGCATTATATTAAGATTCCTCAATGAAATATACCTATTCATCCTGGTTTTTCATAGCAAATAAAGTACAATAAGTCATCCTTTTGAGGGATATATATGAGGAAGGCCAGAATAGTGAATGACTGAAAGATCATAATACCATATTTAAATAAGGTTCATATTTTTTCATTGTACACATGTTGTACTCTGACAATAAAGGTAATAATAATAACTTTTATGCAGGCAAAAAGTCACTAAGGATATGCTCATTATCTGAATCCAGAACTGAGTCTGGTTGCAGATCCTTCATTATTTCAAAAAAGTAGGGTAAAAATTAAATTTCTCATGTAGTTTTTTTTTAATCTGTAAAAATGTTTTATATCATTACTAGAGTTACCGGAGGCGAATTATTTGAGGACATTGTTGCAAGAGAATATTACAGTGAAGCAGATGCAAGGTCAGTGCTGAATTTAAAAAAAAAAAAATCATCTGAGTGGTTTCTAAATTTCACAAACAAAATAAAAATAAATTTAGTGTGATACCCTGAGGAAAATTACAGTAACCTTTCTTAAATCTCAATCTTGGAAAACAATACTCATTTAGCATACTGGGGTTCCACCTGTTTGCTTTTTTCACAGAGTCCATTTTTAAATATTTCTTTCCACAATGCATTTCCCATTGGAATATTACCATATGAGAATTGATTTTACAAATAAATGTGCCATTATTATTCTATGAGTTATATAATACTTCTTTCCTCTTACATTACATTTCCTCTGTCATTAGATTAAAGCAACATGATGGTAGTGAAGTATGGTTTTTTTCTTCCTTCAAATCCCATCCCAAATATCCTATCTTACAAAATGATTTTGTAGAAAAATAGGTATGGCAGCAATTGATTTGCTCATGTAGGAAATTTCATACTAGTTTTTGTTGGAATGTTAGAAAGGAAAGGGATGATAACTGTGGTCTAAATAATTCATGTCTACTAAAATCAAGGAACCCAGCAAATTCTAGAAGATTCCAAAACAAATAAGTTCCAATATCCATAACTAGTCTATATCTGGAACCCATATCTCAACTTTTCCCCCCCTTCCTTTTCCATTGCAGGCAATAAATCAGTTCACGTGGCTTTATTCTTTGCCTGACACTGTAGCAGTGAGATCAGAATAATATTCAGTTTTTTTATTGACACCAATAAAAAGTTCACCTGTTGCTGAAAAAGGAAGGGATTACTCTTTGCTTTCTTTAATACTGAACTCAAAGTATCTAACGGCCTATCCTAATAATTTGTTGTCTATTTTTTTTTCCATATTTAACAAGTGTGTGATAAATATAATGGCTGAGGGAGAAAGGAAGATAAATAAATGAATGGGTTGAAGGGTGTGTCATCTCTAAGACCAGAAAAGTAACTCTTCATGAGGAGAGTTTTATCTCTGCTGGAAGAAAGGAGAAGTTAGTTTTGCTGACTCTATTTTCCCTAAAAACATCATGCGGCATTTTATCAACTTCTGTGAAAAAGCATTGCAGGGATCTTTATTTAGCAGAAGAGGAACAAAAAAGAGAGGTCTCTTCTTCTTCCAGTGAGGTTAACTACTGAATTCCCCTCCCCCCACTAGAATCCTACTAAATTAATTCAAGAGACTCCCTATTGTTTTTTCCCCAAAGATGACTGCTAGTAACTGACTGCTTCAAATACACCTTTCAGTTACACAAACTGATTCCCCCTCACACACACTCATTTCCTGTTCTATTAAACTGTTTGGTTTTCAAGAAACTTTGTGCTTTAAAAAAAATTTTTTTTGCTCTGTCTTACTGTTTTCCTTATGCTCCTGTATAAATATGTTGAATGTGAAAGAATAATGCACATAAAAATAGCCATTATGCCATTTATTAATATGTGGAAAGCATGCATATATTAGAACGATTTGCATTCTATTTGTTTGTTGTTCAACTAATATGTACTCTCTTAAACACACTAGACAATAGAATATAACCTACATTGGTTAGCAAATATTCATGCTTTTCAGGTTGTATAATAGCTGCAGCTTCATATTTTTCAGCATCATTCCAAACACACTGACTAGTCAGTGAGCAAAATTCTTTGTTGATTACTATTCATAGCCTTGACCATCATGACCAGTGGTTACACAGGTTCTCTCTGCTATTTATGTTGATGTATACACTGCACTGCTAGCCACAATAAAGCCTGTATTATTTACTATAGATCTATCACCTCGTAGGTGCTTAAACTTTTCCTCTCATACTTCAGCAAATATTCCACCAAAAGTTTATATCTATTATATGTTATATGTTAAATGTCATTTCTTTTGAGTCTCTTGACAATTTTTTCCAAAGAGAAAGAGAGAAAAGCTGTGTTTCAGTTCTGTGTGTAATTAAAACCTGTCTAAAAATGTGATTTGATTATTTTAAGTTATTGCTATTTTAAGTTACTTTCATTATTATTAAATTATTTTCTGTATTTAACGTGATTATGTGCCTTAAAATGTTTTCCCCCCTCCCATTCTGCCCTTGTATCTTTGCAGTCATTGTATACAGCAGATTCTAGAAAGTGTTAATCATTGTCACCTAAATGGCATAGTGCACAGAGACCTCAAGGTCAGTATCTGGTGCCCCATAGGTTTGCTAAGACTTTTGTTTTATTATTATTTTATTTGTTTTTGTCTCTCTTCTGTCTCTCTTCTTTTTTTTTCTTCCTTGCTTGAGTTTTAAGGGTGGGTTGGCTGAGAAGTTCCCTTGGCTATCCTCCTCACCCTTAATATGAGAAATGGATAGTGCATGATGCTGCTTTCCACTCTGCAAGTGTCACAGGTTTAATGTCCATCACAGAAAAAGGTAGAATAGGTACTGCTAATACCAGGGACCTCCCAAGAGATGTGGTAGGTGCCATAGGTATCAGGAACTGCTTTGGAAGGAGATTACCTCAGTCCTGTAGCCTGAATCTGTGACTGACCTTTGTCTGTGATAGATGTTAGCCTGCAGGTTTAAAACACCACTTCTGTTCAGAGACAATGGGTTATTGTAGCAGAATGACTGGTTATGCATTGCTCTGCTAGAGTAAGATAGATCCCTCAGGCAATAGGGATCAAATAATTGCTTGGCTAAATGAAACCATGAAGGGTGAATAACTCATCTCAAATACAAAACTACTTAAAGTAAATTTACTTTCAGGGCTGCTGGTGGAAAAAAGGCCTCCAAGGCGAGTAAAGGAGGGAAGGAAACAAACTGCACCAGATATTTAACCCAAGTTTGTCAAATGGGTTTATCAGATCAATGATATGCTCTCATTGTCTACTTCTCAATATATTATGCATATGCCCAAGAATACTACCTTAAACCCTTTTGTGGAGCCCAAAGATATCGCTACCCCTCCTGTTCATGCCCTACATAAAAGTGGGCTAAAGCAAGCATGCATTTGCAGTGCACATTCATAATGGCTGAGGAAGTTGCTGTTCTAGCGGAGGAATGCAGATCCATGCATTTTTAAGAGGTTGTGATTCACGATCTCAGCCTGTTCATCATTTTGCACTTTAACCCAGTCTCACTGAGGTTATACAGACAGTGAGTGTACAGCTTCGAACTAATATACGCCCCCTGGTGTTTGCATGCAGTCATTGCATTCAGCAGATCCTGGAGGCTGTGCTACACTGCCATCAGATGGGCGTAGTCCATCGGGACTTGAAGGTAAGTAATGCTATGGGGGAAGATAATCATATTACACAGATTCAAAGCACAACATAGCTGCACTTTTGCATCTAGAAGCAAAGAGATGTCCACTGATTATTTTGCAAATTGTTTGTGGTTGCAAAAACAGGCAACTTTCCTTTTCCTTGCAGATTTAGGATTCATGTGATACTTTGCTTACTTTATTCCCACCTGTCTTATTCCCACATATTAATTCAGCTATGCAAATAGGACTAAGGTTAATCACCTTGCACATGTGATTAGTTTGTCAGGTTTTTCCCCCCCTAATGTAACATTGTTGACCAGCAGTTCCAACTGATTTTTAAATCTTATTTCTGTAATTAAAAAAACATCTTTAGACCTAAAATATACAGTTAACAAATGTAGAACTATAGTAGTGAACATGAGCAAATGGTTTGTCATTCTTTTGGAACTTAATTCAGATTTACATACACACAAATGCACACATTATTTTCCATAAATTTAGAACAACATGTTGTCTATTATGTTTTACAGATTGTTAGAGTAATATCTAAAAAAGCCCAACCTGAAAACTAAGCAGAATCTCATAAAACATTTTAAAGCAATTTCTTTCAGTTTCTCCCTGTTTAGATGAGATCTGTAAAAAAACTATAGAGCTTCCTGTTATTCTTGCCACACATTTTCAGAAGGAAATTCAGAACCAACGGGGCTTCTGGAATTTTCTAACAGATTTCATACTGTGAACATTCATCATAGCAAATCTGTATGGGTGACTTTAGATAACAGTAATTCCTCCTGTCAATTATTTGGAATGGTTTATTCCCAAACTAGACCTAGTATGCATTTGCATATTCTGCAGTCATTTATGCTCTGTATGTTACAGTATGTTAATGTATTTATGTCAACATATTCATTGGCTAACCTTGACAAATATCCAACACTACCTTATACTGGGTGAGGGTAATTGGGAAGGGTGAGTGTGCATCTATTCCTGTACATTACTTCTGATAATAGTCCTAAATATGCTTTGGACTAGAATCCATATTATGCATGAAATGATTGCCTAGATAGCAAGGTACACACAAAAACTACAAAAAAGTACAACAAGAAAAAATGAAGACATGTACGTGTTTTGGTGTATAGAATTGTATATAATTTTTTTCTGTGATCAGGAAACATTTATTTATTTAGCTACCTAATGCTTGCTTCCCCAGGTGTCTATTTAATGCTTACACAAGAGCCTACATCACAATTATTGTGTTTAAAATAACCCAAGGTTGTTTTTAGAAATTAATACAAAACAAAGAATTAATTAAACTTATCTACCATTAGAATAATAGACTTGATAGAATAGAAATAGTTTCAAGGCTGTTAGAGATTATTTTAAAAGAAAAAATGATTAAAAAACAGAAGTCCTTATTTTTAAAAACATTCATCTTGCAATACAACAATATATGCAATAAAGTATTTATGTCAACGTTCTGGGTTCTATTTTGTTTTTAAATCAAACCCCTTCTTCAGATATAAAACTTGAACATTTTATCTTGGATAAAGGATTCTGTAAATCATATACTTTTAAACACCTATGTACATTTTAAAATCATTTTGCAAGGATGATGTAAAAGATGGCCCCAGAATTAGTGCTGAAACCCATTAAAACAAATCTGACTCACATGTATAGAATACAATTAACTGGACTTAATTTCAATACAGGTATAGTTTTTTTTAAAGGTTAGCTTTGATCCACCTTGGGACTATTTCCATTTCTTTCACTATCATTGTTGGATTTGGCCAAATAGCTTTTTACTGAAGAATCATAGAGAAATTACCCCTTTTAATTTAAAAACAAAAACAAATAAATCTTGTTTTATTTTGCCAGCTAGGTCACCCCGTATGTAGATTTTAAAATATAAACTTAGATTTGTAATATTCTTTTAGGATACCCTTTATAAATACAGTTTAGATATTAACACAAAATATGTTGTATGCCTCTTTTATCAATATTATAATAAAGAAGCTCAAAAATTATTGTTTTCTGTCAACTATATGCACATCTGCAGCTAAAGTGCAACTTTGTGATCCACACACTGACTTGTTCCTTTCTTGGATGGAGTCTCAAGATTCCATCTCTGTTTAAATCCCCCATATTTTTGTCCAGTTGTGTACATTTGCCCCAACCTATTCAGAACTCATGCATGACAAATCTATTGACATTTTCATTGTCCTGAACTGGCTGATGCATGTTTTTAAAGGGCATAGTCAGTTGCCCAGAAGTCAGATGAGCTTGCTATTGAGTGTATGGCTGCTCTGTAATTATTGGACCATATTTCTTTCCTTATGACTGTGATATTTGCTTCACATGTTTATGTCCAAAGTTACTTGTTTACAATATTCAGCAGTTCTAATGGAAGATTAGGTTGTCATCCTAGTTTTGTGAGGTGCAAGATCTAGGTATTTGCCTATCAAAGGGTATAAATGTACTCTAATCTGACTTTATGAGAATTTTTGAAATTCCATTCCCGGCCATCCAGAAAGTGCAAGCTTAGACAGAAACTTGTGGTTTAACATCACAGCTCCTGTGTAGGAATTTGAAAGTTATAGATAATATGATTATCAAGGCTTTCTAAGAACTATGCTCTGCTAACTTTTCTGCCTTAAAAAACCTTGCACATTAATTAGCTTGGCAAATGCTTGTAAAATTGATTACACTTCTTATAATTCTTGTTATAATAAATCATTTTTTAAAAAAAGTTTAGATTCCAAAATAGAAAAATACAGGTAGTCTTCGACTTACAACAGTTCATTTTGTGACTGTTCAAAGTTACAATGGTGAGGAAAAAAGTGACATGACCGTTTTTCACAGTTATTACCTTTGTAGCATTCCCATGACCATGTGATCAAAATTCAGATGCTTGGCCACTGACTCACACTTATAACCGTTGCTGTGTCCCAAGGTCCTGTGATCACCTTTTGCAACCTTTTGCCGAGCAAAATCAGTGTGGAAGCCACATTCACTTAACTGTGTTACTAATCAACTGTGGTGATTCACTTAACTGTGGCAAGAAAGGTCATAAAATGGGGCAAAACTCACTTAACAAATGTCTCACGTAACAACAGAAATTTTGGTTGTAAGTTGAGGACTACCTATAGCGTTGAATATGTTTAGATATAATGGAATACTGACATTTTAAGATGGTCTTAACTATATTATAAGCTTAGATCCTGGGATTACTGTAACTGAATTGCAAGAAAGTTTTATTTGTATCTTTCCTGATAACCAGCAGTCATATAAATTTTTGACAAGTCAGATATAGGTAACATTTCTAAGTAATGTATCCTTTTTGTAATAAACAATGTTTATGATATATCTATTTTTAGCAAGGAAAACTATTTGAGCCTTAGTCTCATATCAGTAATTGGTTATATGAGACCATAACAGGTTGAAGGAAGTTAATAATCCTATAATTTGGGAAACCTTCATATTCCCAAATAAAATTTGTAGATACTTGATAGACCAGTCTTAGAGGCTTCTAAAAGGGTCTCTAAAGAGAAGAGAAGGTTTAAAATATAACAGAAGAAAACAGCTCTACTCTAAATAATTTGTGGATTTGGGGTCCATTTAAAATTTCACAGAATCGAACATTTATTATTTTTGAAAATAAGAAAAGTATGCTTTCTCTGTCTCCAACTTAATTTATATAAAGTAAGTACTGAATTAGAAATACTGACTTATCTTCTACTTCCTTTTTCCTTTTTTTCCTCTTCTGCCCTATATAAAGCCTGAGAACTTGCTTCTAGCAAGCAAGTCAAAAGGAGCAGCTGTAAAACTGGCAGATTTTGGATTAGCAATTGAAGTGCAGAGTGAACAACAGGCCTGGTTTGGTAAGAAAAAAAAAATTCAGTTTGTATTATACCTTCCCATTTATCCCAACATTGCGACACCATATTAAATTAGTGTGCCTGCAAGTGGGACATTAAAGAAATCTACTACAGATTTGCAAAAGTTGCCTGAATTGACACTATAACGTTGAATCAAGCTGTTCTAGCATCCATTTTTCTCCAGTCAGAAATCTACATTAACTCTCAGCCCCAAATTCATCATCATTGTCTTTTAATGACCCCATAATCCCTTGCGGGAGTCTGGGCAATTGAATGGAGCAAGCAGAGTCTTTTAATGGCCCAATGCCCTTCCTGTCGTCAATGTGGAGTTTTCAGCAGATATATTCTCAGTGTGCCCAGAGAAAGAAATACCTGCTTTTACCTAGGATTGAACTCACAGCCTTCTGATTGTTCAAAGTCGTAACTTTGAACAATCGCTAAGCACATATTGTAAGTTGAGAACTATCTGTATTACAAAAAAGATAGGTAGCAATAGCACTTAGACTTATATACCACTTCATAGTGCTTTACAGCCTTCTCTGAGTGGTTTACATAGTCAGCATATTGCCCCCAACTATCTGGGCCCTCATTTTATCAACCTCAGAAAGATGGAAGGCTGAGTCAACCTAGATAGATAGATAGATAGATAGATAGATAGATAGATAGATAGATAGATAGATGATAGATGATAGATAGATAGATAGATAGATAGATAGATAGATAGATAGATAGAT